ATGCATGTAATATATTTTATATGAGTCACATTAAGAACATGTCTCTGAAATGCTTTTACAAACTGTCCTGGAGCAGCCCAGCACTGTCTCACTCATCTAACACACCCTATTTAACTCGTCAGTTCATTATTGAGACTTTAAGACCTGAAGTGAGTCAGAAACGGTAAAGAGAGTTGAGAGAAAATACGATGCGCGTCAGATCCGCATCATGTTGAGCAGCGGCAGCTCTTAAATTAATAGCAGCCAAAACAACCTAATAACCAGCTGCTGTGATGTCTGTTAATCACAGGACAAAGATAGTATTTGTATCAGTGATACTGGCCTTCAGTCATAATAAAGATGCCATTAAACAAATATTAAAAATATAGACTGTCTTTATGTTGTTTGTACATTAATTAAAATTAATTTATTAATTAAAATTAATAAAAATCAACTACAGCTGTAGTGGAGATGTTAATAATCTCTAACAGAGCAGGAAGACACTTACTTCCAAGGATGAAAATTGCTTTAATTGATGCTTGACATAAGAGTGAGGTGTCTGTCTGTTCAACCTCCACGACTCTGAAACAGAGAGAGAGAGAGAGAGAGGTGTGTGTAACATTCAGATAAATCACACAGCTCCTGTAATCTTCTCTCTCATTCAAATCATCATTCTCTCTTCTATAGACCTGTTTAATCTGTAATGGAGCCTGGTTAGGGAGAGAATCAATGTAAGTACCCTTATTAGGGGATTTGAGAGGCGTAAATAAGTTAGAGGCTGGCAGTGAGTGTGGGGGGAGGCCATCAAATTTTAATGTGCTGTGGGAAGACAGCAGACCAGCTTTCTCTGGCAGGACTTTAGCATTAGCTAGCATCAGAGAAACACCCCGATGAGGATCTCAAACCCCAGAAGAGCTGCGAGGGAGTTCTCCGGAAATCACAGGCATACGTTCGATCGACAGATTTCCTCTGTATTAAACACACACTGAGGCTGTGCTCCAAAACTGCAATTATGCAGCTTTCTAAGAGTTTTTGATCATGATCATGATCATGAATCCACAGTGTCAATCCCAGCGCTAGGACTGAATTCAGAATCGCACACTATTCTTACAGTTTCTGCCATTTACAAATAAGGCAAAACATAAATGATAAATTCAACAAAGCTCAATTACTATATAAAGATATAATATTATATTTGCATGTGTGTATCATATACAGTATATACTAGAATTTTGAATAAAGTTTCACAACAATTTTAATGTGTTCACACAAAGATATTTATGCAGCTTATCTTTTAGGAGTTTCGTTGGTTCTTTTTGGACTTTTAATAGCACATTTAAAATAGAATATATATTTTTCGCATTTTTTTATGTGTGTGTGTGTGTGTGTTTCTATACACACACACACACACACACATATGGTATATTCTTCATCCATGAATGAATGAATGAAAAAATAAATTAATATGTATATATTTGCATAAAAATAACAAAGTCTATAATCATATAAAAATCATGTTAAATTGTATGCATTAAATATTTACATGAATATAAAATTTTCTTATATTAGGAAGTATATTAGGAAAAATGAATGAATTAATAACACGTTAAATATATTATTATATTTATTGTTAACATATTTTATAATCATATATATAACAATACACACACACACACACACGCATATATATATATATATATATATATATTAAAATGGCTACAGAATATATAAAATTTGATATGTGTGTGTTAAATATTATAATATATTTTAAAATTATAATTATTTTAAAATATACTAAAATGTCTGAATGAAGTATAAGGGAAGATGGGAAAAAAACTGTTAACAATTAAGTTAAAATTATAATTATTTTAAAATATACTAAAATGTCTGAAGAATGTATAAGGGAAGATGGAAAAAAAACTGTTAACAATTAAGTATATTGAAAACATATATTAGTAATACGTTTTTATGATTTTGCCATTTTTACAAGTACAAATCAACATATCATTATAAGACATACTGACATATAAAAAAAAAAAAAAAAGCATAAGCAGCATAAATTATTTTGTGTGATAATTAATTGTATGCCTCCCACATGCTGTTTCCGTAACAAACCTGTTGCTCTCTATGCAAAACACTCCTAACTGGTCACTTAAAAGCTAGCATTTCAGTTAGTATGCTGCCTCAGGAGGCAGTTGTTTACGTAGCTCACCAGGGTTTGAAACACAGCCAGAGATCTGCTTCCTTACAACAACAGCAAAATGCTAAAAAGCATAAATGGTCTTTGCAGGTGCTAAATCCGTTAATTGCTTTTCACTAAATGTACTTGTTACTACTGCTGGTCACGCTACACCACTTTAATTATTCACACCAAAGCCTAATTAGTCTTATTGGTGCAACCAGAGGCGAACACAACCTCCATTAGAGGCAAATCAAAGCTCAAATGCTTGGCTAGACGCGGGGGTTTTAGCACCGCGCTTCAGCTACAACTTTGTCGGCCTGTAATCAGCATGAGCGAAAAGTTTCAGCTCAAAGCTCCGATGAAATATAAGATCTAATTAAGTGGCGAGCAGAAGTGCTGATGTAGGACAAGTTATAACCTTTCATATCCTGATGAATATGGATTTCAGGGCATGGAGGAGGCCAGCGTCGGATCAGCATACTTACGGAGAGAGCTTTATAAATATCAGCCGTGACCGGCGCTCGCGACCTCAAAACGTGAACCTGCGGTTCGAGGCTCAGCCGAGAGAATGAAGCGCTGGAGACAGTAGAGTTTAATAAATCTGCACATTCAACACGTGTGCGCCATACTGTTGCCTATGGAAACCACCTGAGAGCCTCTAATACTCTAGAAGAGTCTGTGATTCCTACATAGAGCTCTGGAAGATCTGGAGAGAAATATGCTTTTGCATTCCAATTGATATATAATATATATGTGTATTAGG